AAATATTTTCTAAACTAGTTAGGTGCCCGTGCGTTGCAACGGGTTTAATAAAGTATATCGTTTATATATTACATAAAAAGGTGAAATGATATTCTTTATATATATTGAACAATATAACAATGTAGGTGTTGGAACAAAATCCAACATGTATGGCTAGAGCATCCCCCAAGCTTAGCCCTGTGAGGATCCCCCAAGCTTAGCCCTGTGAGGACAACAAGAGTGAATGAAGAGAGAAAGAGAATCGATGGAATGTGGGAGAGATCCCTCTCTCTTGCCTTTGCAGGACTCCTTTTATTCATATGTAACGGGAAATTACATCTTTACCCTTGATTGGCTACATATATACAACATTCTCCTAGGGGTATTTTAATCTTTTATACATTAGTTTATACAACACCTTAAGTATGGAGTTATTCCCCAACATTACCCCCTCATCTGCTGACTCCGAGGTTCGGGGGAGCAGATGATTTCCAGCCCCTGTTTCTTAGGGTGTTGATCTATGCCTGCATTTTGCATCGGATACCCTCACGCTCAGCAAAGACCACACTGAAAAGGCGGCGCCATCTTGAGCTCTTGAGATGTGGAGTCCGGTCCACCCCATCTAGTGGTGAAAGCCGCGGTGCTCGACGGAGGTACCACCGTCCGGAGCCCGCTAGAAATGAAGGTCAGTCCACCCCCTCTAGCGGTGAAAGCCGCGGTGCTCGACGGAGGCAGCGCCGTCCGGAGTGTGCGAAGGCGAGTGCCGGGGGTGCCGCGCGAAGCCGCGTGTGGCCGGTGGAGCTTGGCTTTTAAGGCCGGCGTGACCGGCGGAGCTGTCCGGGGCCAGCGGAAGGACTGTGGAGTCCGCCGGGCGCGAGCCTCTGTGTCGTGACGTGGTCCGGCGGAAGGGGCCGAGCCGGAGGCAAAACGCGCCACACGGGGCCAGCGCCGGGCGTGAGTCGGCGGAGGGTGTCGCCCGCGGAGTCTTGGTCGTATGCGCGGGGGCGGCTTCACGCAGCGAGGCCGGCGTAGGCCGCTTAGCGATTACGCACGACACGGAACCGCTTCCGCAGCCATTAAGTCGTGCTGTCTTTCTTGTCTCCTTTTCTCCTTCTTCTTCTTCTTCCTCCTTTTTTTTCCTCATGAACAGTGCCATGCACATGCATGCAGCATGCGCCCGTGCATGTCACTTACACTCGCAGGATGGGAATCAAGTGCATGTGCATGCAACCGAACCACACGGGGCCGGAAACCGCTTCGGCCGCTGTCGACGCGGGGATGGCAACTCGCAACAAAGGGGACCGCGGGGCTTGCCCGCGCGGAGGCAGCGGAGCCGGGGGAGCCGCTACCGAGTCGGCGGAGGCGCGCGGGATCACGCGGAGGCGACGGAGCCTCGCGGGTCCACGGGAGTCGGCGGAGACGCGCGGGTGCGCGGGGCCGACGGAGGTGGTGGACGCGGCGCAGGCTTGCGCGGCCATTGGCGGCGACGGAGCCACGCGTGCGCCGGCGGGTGCGCGGGGCCGACGGAGGCGGCGGAGCCGTGCGTGGGCCGGCTGAGACGCGACGGAGCCACACGCGCGATGCGGGGGAGGGAAGAAAAGTGAATCGCGTGCGATGGGATCTCAGCACCGTCCGATGTCCCGATCCAACGGATAATATCACACGTGTCTGTTAGGGTTGGAGTCACCGCCACCACTATAAAATTTTAAAGTAGTAGAGATGAGCATATTTATACAAAACCAATAAAAAAAAGGTATATTTTAAAAAGAATTTTGAAGTTGGTCTTCACGTTGTTGCCAAGAATCCCGCGCACCTCGATCTCAGCGTCATGGGCTAGCGCCGCCGCCTCCGCCACCGCCGTCGTGCTGCACATGGAGGATGCACATTTAGTGGTGATCTTCGTGAGACTGGCCGCGGTACACTACGCCAGAACAAAATAGCTGTGACGGGCTTAATCCCTCATCTGTGACGGGTAGACCCCTCATCACAGATCAGTGGTTAGTAATAACGTAACTCATCTGTGACGTGTGGAGGTCCATCATGTGGAAAAATATAATATATATTATATTCTGATGTTTTCTGATATATTACACCGACCCTCTCATGGGGTATATACGTATATATGAGTACATAGGAGATATAGACTTAGAATACACTGCAAGTAAGAGTAGATTTATCTCTAGGGTTCTATCTCTAGGACTCTATCTTATCTCTATATTTGTATTTGACTCTTATCTCTAACTAACATCTATACTTCTAATATTTCCCCTCAGTCATAATGGAGTGAAGCGAACGATTGCGATTGGATTTAAAATCTTCTATTTCTTCATCTTTTTCTACTCACCATCATCGATTGCATATCTAATGGACAGACCTCCACTTGGTGCCTGCGTCCACTTCTGTGTCGTCCCGTGACTCTCCTCTATTCCCTTCCGCAATCATAGCGGGAGTGTCATGGACGATAGCGATAACACTGACGCTTTGACTGGAGTTGCCATCAATGATTTTTGTTGTAGACATTAGTCGATGTAACCGATCATGCAGTAGCCGTGATTGTAGGTGTAGCCACACATAGTCAAAGGCGAAAAAAAAATTTACGCCATGGTGTGAAGACGAAAATGTAATTATTAGCATCTTGCATCTTATAGATGTCAGAAGAATGCTATTGAGGACGTCTTGCATATATCAGAGGATGTCGTTGGCGATGAGGCCACCAATTTGGTTGGTCCTTCTGTGCTGTGTGGCAGTCATCACAATGGTGATGCAGTGTTGATGTAGTCGTTGTCATTATAGATGATGTGATCAATGCCATCGGTGTCGCGGTCGTTGCCGTCGTAGAGGACGCGAGTTGTCCATCTATGTGGACAAGTTGGCGGCAGCAAGTTGATGAAGACTACTAGTGATGTAGGATCAGCGAAGACGGTTGTGTTGTTGACAAGGTTCCTGATCTGATCGGGAGGATTGGTAGGTTCTATGTAGCTAATGAAGGAATTGATCTAATCTAATCCTAGTAAAATCTAATCTATGGATTATTTGTGGCATCTAAAGATGTGGCACCCCAATGAGATTATAGGATTGATCTCATCTCCCCAGGGTGATGCGGGGATCGACCGACATTAGTCTCTAAGGCTCTGATACCATGCGTAAAAATTTAATATGTTGTATTTTGATGTTTTCTGATCTATTACATCGACCCTCTCATAGGGTATATATAGGAGTACATAGGAGATAGAGACTTAGAGTATAATACAAGTAAGAGTAGATTTATCTCCAGGATTCTATCTCTAGGACTCTATCTTATCTCTAGGATATATTTTATCTCTATATTTGTATATGACTCTTATCTCTAACTAACATCTATACTTCTAACAAAAAAAGAGGAGAGTTAAGGGACGACACAGAAGGGGACACAGGCACCAGGTGGAGGACCATCCGTCAGAGATGCAATCGATGATGGTGAGTCGAAAAAGATGAAGAAATAGAAGATTTTAAATCCAGTCACAATCATTCGCTTCGCTCCCATTATGACTGAGGGGGAACGTTAGAAGTATAAACCCATAGGTTGGATTGAGTATATATATATTCTTTTAAAATTAATCCAATGGTTAAAAATAATGGGTCCACTGATTTAAGTGAAAACCAATGGCGGGATGTTTTTCTTTTTTCTTAAAATTTCTAGGATTTTTTCTAATTTATTAGAGCGCCACGTGGTGACTTAGGAGCGTTTGTAGTAAGCCATGTGGTGTCTTGAGAGTATTTTTAGAAAGTTTAATGAACTTTTAGTATATAATAGATAGATTGGACTATCTATGTACATGTATAAATATAAAATGGTAGTTTTTTTAGTTATGGTTGTTATTTTTTTAATTGTATGGTAATCATAGTCCAGGTTTGATACATGCCTTGACTGCACATTCCTGGCGTATTTATATGATAGTTGTACTTCCTGCTAAATGCATATTTCTTACCATAGTAAAATATGTTATTCTAGCACCTTATTCATGAACTGATTGGCATTCTATTACAAGATTAACTGCAGAGGTTCTAAAACTGTGCTAAATGGATCGGTGAGGGAGGGTTGTACCATGGAATGATATCATGCAAAATACAAGGCTATCAAGTCAACGAGAAAATCAATCCCAGTACAACACCTATCCTTTCAGGCTTAATTAGTTCATATAGAAATTAAACATATAATTCTGGATAATGTTATTGATGGTGTATATTTTTCATTCTTCAGTACTGAGTGAACATCCTTTAATTTTGTTGTTTCCAGTACTAGCTCTATCCGATCAGCGGCTTAACAAGGTACCTCATCATATAATCTATAATTACTATTACTACAATAAAGTTTTTAGGAAGTTAATTATATTGGAGTAGTTTTCTTTCTACTCAAATATTTCTATGCTCATGTTGAAAATTTGAAATTTCTCAATTATTACTACAGCAACGCGCGGGGTATTATCTAGCTAAATTTTGACAAATTTTGAGTAGCACACAAATTTTGACAATTTGACCCTTTGCAAAAACTAATTTTACAAGTGAACCGCCGTCAAAACTTATTTAAAAACTGACCCTTTTGTTCAACGCCAAATCGTGTGGTGCTGAATTTAGATACCTCAGTGCCAAATAGCATGGCGCTGAATGTATGTTGGCACACTGACTCAGCCTCCCATCCATAGTGGCATGGCATTCAGCACCCCTTCTTCCCTCTCCTCCTCCTTCATGTTCTCTTCTTGCTTCTTCTCTTCCTGGCAATCTCCAGTTTTCGTCCCCTTAGCCGAAAGCCTCACAGAGCTAGCTCTTGTGAGGAGAGCAGTGCGCAAGGGAGGTGCAGGGATGGAAATTTCACCCCCCTCCTCTGGCAAGCAAATATTTCGAGCAAAATTTTTGGATTTTTTTCAAATATTTGTGAATTTGGTTATAATTTATTCAAATTCAATAAAAATGTTTTATTTTTTTTTAAAAAACTATAATAAAAGATACCTACGGAAAGGTACTTAAAAGTATGGGCCATGTGCTAACTAGAAAAGGTTAGATATATAATTTAGTTTCTAATATTTCCTTAGAAGAGGAAGAATAACTCTAGTAAACGAGAAATTATTCCAACTGCGCTGGCAGCCGAACTGCAGAGGTAGGAGAGACGATACTATCTTTGGTCTCAAAGTGCATTGAGGTACCGTGAGATACTTTTCGCTTGACCAGAGCAAATCTCTTCAGTGGCTCAACATCTTGTTCTTTCTCCTTTCACACCACCACCAGACAAAAGGTGTACATGTATTAACAGCTAACTTACAATAGAAACTAACAACGGACATCAACGAATAAGGAAGACAATAGCAAATATTATACCAAGCTTGAGCTCCATTGCAGAAGGTTACTGACAGACCTCTAACTTTATTATATAGTTGCTTTGATGCAAGTATTTTCAGGAGGCCCAAACCAGATAAGCAGTTTGATCCTCATCATTGAACATGGCACGGCATTCTCATCAACGCTGCTGTACCTCTGAATACGACTACTTTCCTTGAGGCACCTAACATATACATAGAGTAATTCTTGCTATGTTCAGTGAAAGAACATTACCAAGAAAAAGTATTGTTCCTCAGTTGTAGAGAAACTAATTCTTGGAAGTCTCCAATCCAACTCGGTAATCTTCCATAAAACCTATTCCATGATAGGTCTATATAACGTAGCAGTGTGCAGCCTTGCAGTAAAGATGGGAATGTGCCAGATAAGTTATTATTACTTAGTAGAAGCTTCTGAAGATTTCTCATCCCAATGCATCGAGGAAGTTTCCCGTTCAAAAGATTGTTGGATAAATCCAAGGTGCTCAAATATTTCAACCTGCAAATCGAACTTGGAATCTGGCCTTGGATGCTGTTTGAGGATAGATTCATAGTATCTAGTCTTGGCGCTCCGAAGTTTGATGCGACAAGCCCTGATAGTATGTTATTTGAGATGTCCAAATAGGTGAGGTTTGTCGGCAACGTTGGTACTTCACCGATTATTCTGTTTGAATTTAGATAGAGTTCTTCCAGAGACATGATTTTCATATTTTTTGGCAGGTTACCGCTGATTTTGTTATTAGACATGTCCAAATATATGGCCTTTGAAAATGCTGTAGAGACCCAATCTGGAAACTCGTCTATTATATTAGCGCTTGAAATATCAATCATATCAATGTCGGATGACCACCGGAGCCAGGCAGGAAACAGAGGACCCATTTGACAAGATGCAAAATACGCAGTTTCAAGCCTAAATGGTGGTAACCATTCAGGGTCTATAACAATCTTGAGTTTGTTGTAAGATAAATCAATGTATGTTAAGCTCACTAGACCACCGAAGTGTTCATCTGTGATGGTTCCTGTTAATTTATTTTCACTTAGGTCAAGGTGAGTCAAACTAGCTAGTTTACCAATCTCAGGAGGCACGTGCCCTGTGAGCTGGTTGAAAGAGAAACCAATATTGGCTAAGCTGGTAAATTGGCCCATACTCTGAGCTGGTAGAGTTCCCGTAATATTGTTGTTGGACAAATATAATTTCCGCAATTTGTTTGGTGAGCAATGACTCAAACTCTCTAGCAGCTCTGTCATGTTACCAGACAAGAGGCCCAATTGAAGGTTCAGACTTTCTAAGTTGCAAAGGTTCCTTAGCAGAATTGGTTCCAAAATACCCGCATTATTGTTTCTTGAAAAATCCAAGACCTGGAGGGACGTCATGTTGGTTATTGCATTTGGAAATCGACCATATAAACCGGTTGATTCAAGGTCGAGGTAGATGAGGGTTTTCAAGATCCAAAACCAGCAAGATGACAAAGGGTGGCTAAAATCGTTGCCAGAGAGATGGAGCTTCTCAAGTCTAGTGAGGTTTACGTGTTTGAGCGAGTGGTCTACACGTGTAAGTGAGCAACCAGAGAGAGAAAGCACCGTTAGTGATGGGATCTTGTTTACTACATGAGCCCAATCAGATATCGCGCTAAGATTTACTGATGACAAGTAAAGGTACTTCAACCATTGTAGACGTGTTAGCCATGATATATCTGCTGATTGCATACCTGTTCCCGAAAGGTCAAGAAATTCCAGCTTTGAAAGGTTACCAAGCTGATATGGCACCATACCAGTGAATCCCAAACCAGAGAGATCAAGATATTGTAGGTTGCGAAGGGAGGCCACAAACACCGGGAAACGGCCATCCGGCCCCGTGAGGTTGTTGTTGCTGAGGTCAAGGTGCTCTAGATGCTCCAGAGAAAGCAAAGAAGACGTTATCCGGCCGACCAAAGCTACCGCGTTGAACTCCAAAGGGCTATAATCTACATAAACAACACCGGTGAGGTTACTCTGGAGGTGGAGCTCGAGGACATGACCGATGAGGTTGTCGCTGCACCTAACGCCCCTCCACCGGCAGCAGTCATGGTCGTCTTCCTTCCACGAGGCGAGGCGCCCTGCGGGGTCGCCAGTGATGCCTCGCTTGAAGGCCAGCAGGGCTTCCCTCTCTCGTGGCACGCAGTTGACGGCGGCTGGAGCCGGTGCATGGTTTGCCATGGCATTGGTGAGCAATGCTCCGATCATGAGGAAGAACAGCAGTGATGACTTGGGATGCATGGTGGGAGCGTGTGAATGGCTCCAAGATGCAAGTGGAACTGTGGAAGCAAGCGGATATGCAGCCATGCAGCTCTTGTTAAGTACTCCCTATGTCCCCCGCAAAAAAAAAAGTACTCCCTATGTCACAAAAAATAAATCTAAAACCAGATATGACATATACCAATTGCTATTCAAATTTATTGTATTAAGATATGTCATATTCAGTTTTAGTAAGACCAATATTTTTTTTCCCTTTTAGAAACACAGTAGGAACACATGTGCCCACAAACGCACGTACGTACAACCTACCATTATAAGCACATATGAGACATTGAACCATTACATCTTAAGATTAATAAAGTCATCAGCGACCATTATATCTTAAGATTAATAAATTCATCAGACATCTTGCTGTCCGATTTAGAACTTAAATCCTCGGGTGGACTGGTTCTTGTGTGACTGAGTCATCGTCCGTCGGTTTAATTATCAGTTGGCCCTACTGCGCACCGTGACTGATACGATCGACGGCTTTGCATTGGCCGATCGAGATGAGATGCCCATTATTTGGCAAGTACAAGTTGGATCGTTGACTTGACTTAGTTGACTTGACTTAGTTCATTTGGATGGGATAACTTATTCAGTTCCAAAGGGCCTCGATCGGTCGATCTCGGTCATGCACAAGTTGCAAGCATCACGCAGGAGAGCATACACTCCAGGCCTCAAGCTGCTAATTTTAACTTTTAAGGCAGCTGGGGATTACAGCGGTCCGGTGGCGTGGGCAACTATGTTACGGATGCAGGTCCTTTACAGTAACGGAAGAGGACACTGTTTGCACAGTGATCCGAGTCTCGCGCTACAGTGATTTCTATTAGCACACTAGAGACAGTATTCTAACAGTAATCCATACTGTTGGGTATTTTTTACTGTAGTGAGGTATTATAGCAAGATGGTTTGTACCATTCGATGAAGATCCAACAGATTAAACCATGCGTCAATGAAAGGTACTGTAGCATCTCTGCATTTTCTTTTTCAATGCAGAGGACCTCAACTCCTATGTTTCCTATTTTTAAGAGTGGTTATGCTTTTACCACTTCTTTTTAGGCCATTTTTAGTGGAAGTTTCATTCTCATTAAATAGGGTGTCGTATCAATATTTTCATAGTGTGGTAAAAAATTAATGAAGTATGAAATAAAATAATGTCTACACGGTTTGTATCTTGCATGTACTACCTATAAAACAACAAAAATAAAACCGTATTATAGTACTCTCTCCGTCCACAAGAGTTAGATATATTTCATATTTTATTTAGTTTTTCCAAAAAAGTTATTCTATGTATGAATCCAAAACTTAAATGGAGAGGTAAATTAAATGTTTGATGATTAAAACCCGAGGAGTAATCTTAATACTCATTGGTTGCATGCGTGTATATCTTTGTTACATGTAAGATAAGTTAATGTCTACATGATCTTGGTCACAAAAGTTATATGTCTAACTTGTGTGAAAGAAGGGAGTATGAGCTATTTTAATCATCAATTAAATGTCTTGTTACTTATGTGACACCATTGAAAACGTAAAAGTGACACCTCCCACTGGGAATGGCATCATGTTTTCAAACGAAAGCAAGCTTAGGTCTATCTCCGGTCTGTTAAATCATCCTAAGGGTTATCTTACTTTTCTAAACTAGTTATATTTTTCCCTTACTTTTCTACACTAGTTATATTTTCCCTTCTTTTTATACCAAGCGTTTTGACATAAACTGTCACGCCCGGAAATTCACTAGTAATTTCCGAACTTATTTGTGCATAAAATCCTCGTCCAGGAATCAGCCGAGGTACACAAACTGACAATTTAATATACAGATTCATCAAATTTACTAAAACGATAAATACTTACTTAAGAGGCACTTAGTCCTCACCAAGAAGAAAACTGCAGCGGAAAATAAAATCTAGCGAAGCTCCGGCTCCACTCCCACAGACAGCTCAACTGGGGTATAAGCCAAACGTCTTCTCCTTCTGGATCCTTTTTCTTCAACTGAGGTTGATTGATTATTGCAAGGTGAGCATATGACATACTCAGCAAGCCACACAGCAAATATGCAAGTGCACAAGGATACCAAAGGATGGCATAATATTGGCTCATTTGCAAAAGCAGCATTTAGCAAAACATTTAAGAGAAGTAAAACAGTGGAGTAATTAATCAGAAATTTTAATCAACACCGAACAGCATACCCATGCTGCACAGGCCCAACCATCCTGAACAACCATACCCGGCTGTACAGATCTAATCTCCAAACCAGGAGCTAAGCAAATTATTACCAGGTATAACATCTATAATTATTGTGAGAGGTGTGAGACTAATCACGAAAAACATTGCTCAACCCGCCCATAACCGCGGGCACGGCTATTCGAATAGTTTTACTCTGGCCAGAGGTGTACCACTGTACCCACAAGACACGATTTCACACATGTTGCCATGCCCCGAAGTACCACCACGGCACTGCAAAGGGGGAAATCGTGACAATACCCTTCGCACAACACAACTCACCACAGTGCACCATTCCTGGATCATAATCACCCCCTTATAAAACAAGGCATGGACTCCCCAGCGACCCCCGTGGGCTTATCTCCGCCACTTCTCAGTCTGGTGCTCCGCAATGAACCATGTTATATAAAAGGTAAAGCCGTTGCCCACGCTGGCTTGTGGTTGGCACGATTAATGTTTCACAACAGTAGCTCGCGAACCGGTCCTTAATTGTCATGAGCACGACTCTCAAAACCATGTGCTCACAACCCACCGTTATCAAGTTTTAGTTGGCAAGTAATTAATTAACCAATCACGATTAACCATCGTGAACTATCATTAAGCCATCATTAAATAATAATGAGTCATAAGTTATCCCAATAGTGTGCTAATGTTTCTAAGCATGGCTAAGCAATCATAACTAATATCTAGCTGAACCAATATATATAAAGCCCAACTAGTCAAGTTATAATAACCCAAGGTATCAAGAAATAAAGTAATCAATGCAAACGGGCCATAACAAAGGAATAGATTTACACCACCCAGTGACATTCGAAAATAAATGCACAGTTGAAATAAATAGAGAATTTAAATATAGGATCAACATGCTCAAAGGATTGTGTTTAGGATCTGTGTGACTTGCCTTGCAATAATCGGTCTTCAATTAATCTTCTTGAATACTTCCGGCGCACTCACGAACCTTCGCAACGACGGAAACGACAAGCTAACACGCAAAACAAAGAAAAAGACTAATAAAAACCAAATAAACAATACATAAAAAGTAAACAAACATGTAGATCATAATTTTAGATGAATTATGAGACTTGAACGGCCTCATTCTGACTTCAAATGAATTTATTATGAATTTTACAAGATTAAATCTAATTAAAGCCCATTTAAAAAGAATTAAATAAATTTAATTCAATTTATGGACAATTTTAATATGTAGATCTTTATTTTATATAACTTTTGCAACTTGAACCACCTTAAACTGAGTTATAATGAATTAGTTATGAATTTTTAAAGATTAAATCGGATTAAAACACTTATATGGATTTTAATTGAATTATGACGCAATAATGAATTATTTTTGAAAAGGAAAAGGAGGATTATTGCGTCAGCGGCTAGGGTTTGCGGTGGACCGGGTGCACGGCGACGGTTCACGGGAACGGACGGCCGAGATCAACCCTATCCAAAACGGACGGCCGAGATCAATCGGTCCACGACCGGCTCACGGGGAACGGCAACGATGACGTCAGCGATGACGTCAGCGATGTCGTCAGCACCGGCGGCGACTCGGGCGACTCGGGCGCGCATGCTCGCCGGCAAACGACGGCGCGACGACGAGAACGAAGGGCACCAGGACGTAGAGCGCGGCGCGGCGAACTCACCGGTGACCAAAGAAGCGGCGGAAAAGCAACGGACGGCGCCGGCGACGAGAACGGAGCGGCGGAGAAGATCGGGTCGACGACGGCGACGGTGCTCCGGCGGTCTTCGGCGGAAGTGAAGCGGTGGACGGGGACAGCGACGACCTCGCGATCCCGACGGTGGCCTTCCCGAGTGACGACGACGACCGTAGCGACAGCGGCGCACGGCTGGACGAACGGCGGCGACGGCGGTGCAAAAGCTCACGAGGCTAGGGCGCTACACATGACGGCGGGCGAAGGCGAGAGAGGCGGCGGGTAGCGGAGACACCAGGGGTCCTTATATAGGTGCAAGGAGGCGGCGGCGAAGGCCCACGACGGCCGGCGACGCGAAGGAAACTTCGAGAAAATCGAATCCGAATTGAGCTCAAATCCGTCGATTTCCAAACGAAGAGGAGAAAAGGAAGAGGAGATCGAGAAGATCATTTCCCCTCTAAAGATTTCACCGGAGAAGGAAAGACGCGGCCGAATTTGGAAGGAGACGGCGGCGGCTTGCGCTAGGGTTTCGGGCGGCGGCGGCGGCACGAGGAAGACGAACCTGACAGGTGGGCCCCACCTGTCAGCGACAGCGAGAGAGAGAGGAGAGCGGCGGCTCGGACTGGGCCGACTGGGCCGGGGAGAGAGAGAGAAAAAGAGAGGTTTTGGGCCGGCTTTCGGCCCAAAGCCAAAAGAGACTTTTAAAAACCTTTTTCAATTTAAATTATTCATGAAATGCAATTCCATTTATTAAAAATACTTCCTTAGCTCAAATAAATCCCAGAAAAATCTAGGAATTATAGAATTAAGCAAAGTATTTAATAAAATTTTATCTAGCCCAATTTTATATTGAGATTTAACAAATTAAAATTAGATCTTCTCTTCTAGGCTTTTAAAATCATTTCTAATAATTCCAATTAAACAACAATTTATATATTTAGGATTTTTAACCAAGAAAAGCTCTTAAAAAATATAATTAGATTATTAATGATCAAATAATTACTGAACTGTTCTTTGTATCATTTAGGACTTGAGCTCCGAAAAATCCGAGAAAATTTCAGAGAGTATACTTAATCATAGAGAATTTAATAAAAATTAAATCCATCCATGCTTTATATTTAAGAAATTTTATTTCCCACATTTTACTTCACTTGTAAATTAAAGAACATTTAATATAAATTCTAATAATAATTTATTAAATAATTTATAAATCCTGAAACAAAAATCAGGATGTGACATAAACTTTGCCTCAATTTTAACCTGAATGTCCACTTATTTCAAATATGTTTGAGTATTGACAAGTTGTTAGAAAATTTGTCAAATATAGAAGAGTTTGATAGAATTTCAACAATCATTTCATAACTTGCAGGAGTATTCAAGCAGAAGTAGTCATGCATAGCAAGCAAAAGTCGCTGAGCAACATGACACCAATTGTTCCACTTGCAACGACAGTTTCATCGGTTCTATTTTCTCCTGCATGTACAAACACTCTTAATAAGTGGCCGTATAGTTTTTATTAAGATCGATGCTCCGGTCCTATCTACTGGTAGTATTATACTACCAGTATTATTAGGGGTAAATTAGTAATTTATTAATACAATGATTATGAGTTACTTTGTCATTTATATTTTTTTCCTAGCTAAATCGATATATGATCATCGATTGCATTGGCGTTTCTCGTATTTCATCGAAAAAACCAAAAAAGGAGGAAAAAAGGTTTAGTCACTGCTAAATGATGATTATACCATCCACACCTTTTTTTTCTGACAATAATGCCCCTCCACGTTTTTGACAATAAAAGTTCCGAGCGCTATTAAGTCACCATATGTCACATTTTAAAAATTACAAAAAACTTAGAAATTAATAGTAAAGCACAAAACATCTTATCAATACTGAGTAGAAAAATGATGAAGAAATGCTTTGCCCGCGCGAATGCGCGGGCTACCTTCCTAGTTATTATATACTAAAAGTCTATTAAACTTTCTACAAGTGCTCTCATGCCACCATACGACACTCTAAAAACAATTTCAAGCTATCACATGGCACTCTAATAAAATAGAAAAAAAATCTTAGAAATTCTGAGAAAAAAATAATTTAGCCCTCGATTTTCATTTAAGTTGGTGGACCCATTAGTTTACACCATTAGATTAGATCTGTAATAAATATATCCCTCCTAATTTACCGTGTAGTACTTACCATAAAAACTATTGGCTGGAAATCAGTGCGATGGCGGTGGCCATGGCGGTTCGGGATGGAGGCAGTGGTGGCACATGGGGCGAAGCAGAGCCGTGGCTTCGCAGGAAGGGGAAATGGACAGAGGGGACAAAAGCATGCCATCGTTTATAGCTGTCACGACCGGTGGGTGGCAACGAAGGTGAAGCAGGCAAGCTCGGCCAAGCGGGGCCAGCTGCCCTGTTCAGTTGACGGAAGCGGGTAGGTACAGTGGATGGCGCGGTCGGTGGACAAACTCGCTCCTGTGGTCTCCTCTCCCTACACAGCTTCCCTCGGTGGCTGCCTGCTGCCTACCGGATGCAGATCCTTGCAGTACTGCTGATACAGTAGCAGTGTGGGTCCGTGTCTGCTAGTGCATCAACAATACTGCATACAATCCCCACTGCTGCCTACCTTCTTTGTCTTGGCGCCTGGAGTGGAGGTTTCATGGGACACAGTGGCTGACTCGGCCAGGGACGATACAGAGAGGTGGAGTGCGGGGGAAGGAATTGGGGGTGTAGGCTTGGGCAAGGGGGTGAACGGTGTGAGTATGCGTGAAAATGCCTATCTTAATTAAAAAGATGGATATGCTTGTCTGCTGTCGTTTTGCTCGTGGGTTGTAAACAATTTTGAACTTGTAAAAGGATTGTAACTGGACTGTGAACTCTAATGATTTGTTTGGTTTTTTTTATATGTAGGAATTTGGTTGGAGGGGTTATAGCTTTTGAGAATAATTTGCAACGCAGAACAAGTTTAGTCTTAAAATGATTTAGAAAGGATAGAATTTGGAGGGGTGATTTTTGGATATATCTCTGGGTGGTGATTTAGGACGCGATTCGGATTCCAAAATCTGAACACAGAGACTTTTGTTTGGAAGAGTTTATTTGAATAAAGGTTTTTAGGTTCAAAGAAATAAATTCTAACTTGGACATTGGTAATAGATTTTTGGGATGATTTATTTAGGGGAGACTCAAATTACAAAATTCGAATTCTGAGATATTGAAAAGAAAAAAAATTGGCCACAATTTTGACTTGACAAGGAATGAATTAATTGAGATTTTTGGCACACAAACTAGATACACTCAAAGAACCAAAAGTTTTAAACATAGGTTCTTAATAAAATAGATTTTTTTGACGGGCGAAAATCGGGGCATTACAAAATAAAAAAGGCCGATCACGTAAAAATGATTTTACTAAATTAATCATTAAACACATTCTCATAATATTTAACTTGTTTTGTTTGAAATAACTTACTTTTTATAAATGTTAAATATTATTAGTCAAAAGTAACACACCAAAGTCCAAAAATACTAATATTTGAGGCATACAGAGTATTAATCTATAAGCACATGTATTAACAAACAATTTAAAAATAAGCAATGCGATAAAAAATATTTTGAAGAACTTGGACTACCTTTAATTTTTTAATAAATGACACCGTCGACTTCTTTACTCATGTTTGACAATTCAGTTTTATTATATAAATAAATAATATTATTCATTTTATTGTGACTTGGTTTAATTTATCATCAAAAGTACTATAAGCATTAATTACACTTTTGCTATTTTTGAATAATATAAATGATCAAACATGTATAAAAAAATTAACTTAATTTATCTATTAAAAACCGGAGAAAGTACTTTTCAAACATGGTAGGTGCCATTCGGTTGATATTTCATCTATTTCTACACACACCTTAAAACGCATGCCCGTGCATTCGCACGGCTACCTTCATAGTTATTACTTTTCGTTAGAATCTGCCTTATATTGATAAAAAAAACAGTATAACATGTTCCTAGTAAAGCAACTTAAAGAAACAAACATTATGATAAAAAATTACAGAGTAATAATGGAAAGTAAGGATAATATCGTATAATCCCTATTAAGATACAACACACAGAACTAATTAAATAAACAAGCATCACTGTGCCACACCACACCACATTAGAGTATTAGATGCTTTTAGTGTGACCCAGCACCAACATACGCACGTCGTTCTAATCAAATTTTCCAATTAGCTTATTGTACATTCGTCTTTTGAGATACTCTTGCCCAAGTAACAACAGTAAACACGTATATTTTGTCACACGCCTTGTCAAAAAGAGAGAAATAGGCAATCCTCCATGTCTTCTTGAAGAGTATGGTGCAAAACACCACCCATAGGCCAACAACAAATCCTGACACAAGCCCAAGGTAAAAGAACATTGGCTCAGCTACTTGTCGGGTTTTACTATGATCGTGATAGCCCTGCTTTGGTGCAATTCCTTCCGAGTAATTTCTTTGAAGAGGAAATCCGAAAAGACCATCGTTACTGCTATACATATCAGGATGTTCAAAATAGAGGGTGTCAAGCTGTGATCCCGATGGTATTCTTCCCGATAGATTGTTGTGTGATAAATCCAAATCACTCAAATATGATAAATTTGACAGGCTAGGAGGGATCTCCCCCGAAAGCTTGTTCCTTGAGAGATCTAGTGATTCCAGTGACCATAACGACCCAATTTTTTGTGGGATTTTTCCACTCAGGTAATTCCTTGACAAATTCAGATTTTTTAGAAGTGCAAGAGAAGCTATTTCCTCTGGAATTTGACCAACTAAATAGTTTGATGACAAGTCAATGTTCACCGCGCTGAAAATATTTGGACCATAAAAAAGTTCTGTCCGCTTTGTGAATACGGATAAATTATTATAACTGCTATCATCAGGTATGTCAAGGTTAAAAATGTAGTTGTCTTCCTTCATTGCCTCTAAATTTGACAAACGCCAAGGTATGTTACCTGATAGACTATTGCCTGCCAGGTTCAATTGACGAAGATTTGAAAGATTTGTGATATTGATCGGAATAATCCCAGAGAAAACATTGTGGCTTAGTAGCAAAAGCACTAATTCCTTCTTGTCACCAATCCACGTTGGTAATTTGCCGGAGAAATTGTTCCTTGATAGATCTACGAGTTGTAGCTTTGTGGAGCGTTCTAGGAAAACTGGGAACGAGCCAGAGAATCTATTGTTTTGTAAAAGAACGATTGCCATACCTGTCATCCCGAAACATTGAGGCAATTCTCCCTCAAAAAGATTGTTTGCTAAGTCCAAGGCGGCCAACTGTTCCATTCTGCAAAAGGATTCCGGAATATGGCCAGATAGGTTGTTGAAGGAAAGAATCAGCGTAACCATTTGTTGATTTTGAGCTCCAAAGTTAGATGGCAGAGATCCAGACAGAGAGTTATTGGAGACGTCCAATTTTACAATTTTTCTCGGTAAAGGAGGTAATTGACCACTCACTTATTTGGTTTGAACCAAGATAGAGATAACTCAATGCCATGGTTTCCATATTTGTTGGCAAGACACCACTTATTTGGTTGTTAGACATGTCCAATTCTTCGAGCTTTGAAAATGTGGTCCAGAACCAATCAGGAAGCTTATCCTTTATACCAGTATTTGAGATTTCTAATAACCAAATATCCACCGACCACTGGAGCCAAGTAGGAAATTGAGGACCCATCATGCAAGCTGGAAAAGATGCACGTTCTAATCTAAATGGGGCTATCCATGTAGGGTCTACCACAATATTCAAGGGATCATTAGACGATAAGTCTATGTATTTTAAGCTCCTTAGGTTAGCAAAGTGTTCTTCGGTGATGTCACCTGCCAGGTTATTGTAACTCAGGTCCAGGTGATTTAAACCTGTGAGCATACCAATCTCAACGGGCAGAGGCCCAGCGAGCTGATTGTTGCTAGCGTCAAGAGTGACTAAGTCTGCAAATTGTTGGAATATCCCAGGTGGCAGAGTTCCACTGATATTATTGTCTGCTAAATTCAGCTCACTTAATTTGTTGGAGCAATTTGACAGACTATCGAGCAACTGTCATGTTCCCATAGGAGAGGCTCCCTTGGAGGTTTAGATTCTCCAAACTACATAGGTTCGTCATCAACTCTGGTTCCACAATGCCCATGTGAGCGTTATCAGAAAAATTAATGACTCTGAGGGATGCCATGTGTCCTATCGCATTTGGAAGCTGATCATACAAATTGTTCGATGAAATATCAAGGTATTTGAGGATTGTTGAGTTCCAGAACCAACAAGATGCATACGGGTGGTCAAAATAGTTCGAGGACAGATCAAGCTTCTCGAGTTTTGTAAGGTTGTAGTGTGCGAGTGAATGGTTCGCACCTTGAAGTTGGCATAAAGATAAACAAAGTACTCTAATGGAAGGGATCATGTTCACGGCATGAGCCCAATCAGAAGCCGCGCTGAGATTTATAAAGGATAAATCAAGGTACCGTAATGATCCTAGACGAGATACCCATGACATATCCGCTAAGTGCATACCTTCCTTTCCCTCCAGGTCGGAAAGGTCGAGATGTTGCAACTTTGAAAGATTGCCAAGTTGAGAAGGCACCGTACCAGAGAACGGAATGCCAGAGAGCTTTAGATATCTCAAGCTCTTCATAGAGCCTATGAACTCTGGGATTTGACCGCTTGGCCCCTCCAAATAGTTAATGCTGAGATCAAGATGTTCTAAATGATCCAGGTAGAGCAGCTGGGGACTTATCTGGCCGACCAAACCTTCCATACCTGTATGCTCATTAGTGTATATGCCACTGAGGTGAAGCTTGAGGACATGGCCGGTGAGGTTGCTACAGGTTATGCCTCTCCACCGGTAGCAGTCATGGTCATCTTGCCTCCACGAGGTGAGAAGTCCTAAGTGGTCGCTAGTGATGTCTCGCTTGAAGGCCAGAAGGGCGTCCCGTTCCCGTGGCACGCAAGCGACGGTGGTGGCACCAGAGCCGAGTTTCGGTACGGTATCGCATGGATTGCTCGGGACAAAGTGGTGGTTGCTAGCAGGAGAAGGCCCAGGAGGAGGAGGAGCAACGGCTTGCCGGTGGGATTCATGATTTCATGGGGTGCACAGGCTTACTATGTGTGTTTGAGTGATTGGAGGAGAGCAGTGAGCACGTATGGATTGTGTGTGTGTGCGCGCACGGCAAACCGGCCTTAAATTAAGCTCATTTTAAAAGACCCGTTCTTGCGTACGACTAGTGGACTGTGGAGTATAACTACCTGCATTTCGCCCTTAATGCTGTAATTAATGGGGTTTAATTTAATTTTCTGGCCCAACCGTGTGAGTGACGTACCGACAGCAACGGCGTCTAGCACGAAATGATGCATGTATGCATGCACCGAATTGAATGGTACTATGTCGATGCCGTTGGGTTGAGTTGACTAGCACATTAATTCGGTCAGAGACCGGGCAGCTCCGTGAAGAGCTGGACCGTGCGAACAGAGCGAATTCAGCCAGAGCCAGAAAAATCTCTCGACATGAATAACGAGTCCTCCACAATTGACTGCTTTGGTATGTTCATTTGTTTAAGGCTCTGTTCTTTTGGTTGAGTTGGGAACCCATCCCTCCGGTACGGAAAACGAAGCAGTCCATTAGCACATGATTAATTAATTATTTGCTAATTTTTTTTTCAAAAATGGATCAATATAATTTTTTTAAGCAACTTTCGTATATAAACTTTTTGCAAAAAACACACCGTTTAGCAGTTTGAAAAGCGTGCGCGCGGAAAATGAGATGGGGGAGTTGGGAACTCCAGGAAACGAACAGAGCCTAAGTTGGAAAAATAATCTTTTTGGTTTAATCAGTTGTTGGTGCCGTGAAAGAGGGATAAAATACGGTGCCCCCTGCCAGGTGCCCAAGAGTAATAGTCTTAATTTAGCTTCCATGATAGGTGAAAACAGAAGTTGTAGATGCAATACAATAATTAATTAAGAAACACTTATTAGTTTACAGAGGAAACGGCATATCTAGACTCACAAAAAAGAACAATATAAAGGACAAAAGCAAATGCTAGCACAAACCCAAGTCCATACTCCCTCCGTCCAATAAAAAATCAATCTAGTACTGGATATGACATATCCTAATATTATGAATTTAATTATACATCTGTCTAAATTCGTTGTACTAGACTATGTCACATCTAATGCTATATTCATTTTTTTTGGGACGGAGGAAGTAGGCAGTATAGTAATCTAACTTTTCTATGCACTTAACGTAGCAGACAGGTATAGCTAAATGATAATGCTGGCCGACAAACTGTATTAATCTTTCATGGGGTATCTAGGGTATATATAGCATGATGCTTAACCTTCGTCGCCTCTTAAAATGTGAACTGTCAAGGCAAAATGCCTGAAATATTATTGTATGCTAGATTCAACTGAGTAAGTTTTATAAGATTGCTGATGTTGATTGGGATATGCCCAGAGAATGAATTATTGTTTAGGAATATACGTTGTACTTTTGGGAGGTCTCCAATCCAATTTGGCAGTCTTCCATGGAACTTATTTTGTGATAGATCCAGGTCCTGTAGATTTGTCAGATTGGTGATGTTGATTGGGATATGCCCAGATAACACATTGTTGTTTAGGATTAGACTTCGTACTGCTGGGAAGTCTCCAATCCAACTTGGCAGTCTTCCATGGAACTTACTCTGTGATAGATCTAGGTGCATTAGCTGTTTGCAACCTTTCAAAAAAGATGGGACCCTGCCAGATAAGCTATTGTTATTTAGAAAAAGGTAATTTACTTCTGTCATCCCAATGCAATGAGGAAATTCTCCCACCAAATAATTGTTGGCTAAATTCAAGAATCTCAAGTATTGCAACTCGCAGATAGAACCTGGAATAGGACCTTTGATGTTATTGGAGGATAGATCCATATAACCTAGGTTTGGAGCTCCAAAGGTTTTTGATGCCACAATCCTTGATACCATGTTATTTTGGATCTCCAACCAGGTGAGGTTAGGTGGCAGGGTCGGTATTACTCCGGTTATTTGATTTGAACCTAGATAGAGGCTTTCCAATGACATGGTTTCCATATTTGTTGGCAAGCTACCAATGATTTTGTTGGAGGACATGTCTAACTTTGTTGCCTTAGAAAATGTTGTCCAAAACTAATGTGGAAGTTGATCGGTTATACCTGTGTTCCAAATATCAAGTATTTTAATATCCACCATCCATTGAAGCCACGAAGGAAACTTTGGACCAAGCTGACAAGATTCAAATATTGCCACCTCTAGTTTAAATGGAGGTTGCCATTCAGGACCAACCACAATCTTCAAGTAGTGATTAGAAGACAAGTCTATGTTTTTCAAACTCTTCAGACCAGCTAAGTGTTTCTCTGTGATTTCACCTGTCAAGTTATTGACCCTTAGGTTGATGTCAGTTAAACTAGTCAGCATACTAATCTCATATGGAACAGATCCAAAAAGTTGGTTCTCAGAGAGATCAAGAGTGTCTAAACTGGTAAATTTGCTCACCGCGGCCGGTAGACTTCCTACAATATTGTTCCCTGAAAGATCGAGGTACTTGAGGCTTGTCAAATTCCAAAACCAACAAGATGCCAAAGGTTGGTTAAAATTATTGTGGGAGAGGTCGAGCTCCTCAAGTCTTGTGAAGTTTAACTGTAAAATTGATTGGCTTGCACTTGTAAGAGAGCAATGAGAAAGATAGAGTGCCCTTAGATAAGCATTCATGTTCATGACACGAGGCCAATAAGATATTCTGCTGAGATCTACATTTGATAAGCCTAGGTACCGTAGCGATGTTAGATGGGTGAGCCATTGGATATCTGTTGAGTACATACCTATTCCATTTCAATGGGAAAGGTCGAGATATTGTAGCTTTGTAAGATTACCGAGTTGAGGAGGCACTGTGGAGATTATGGGTACCCTATACCCACACGACATGGTTATCCGACTAGTTATAAGGGATAACTTATATATATGGAATATGTAACAGATCATGACTTGGGTATTACGTTTCCTTGTATATTACAAAACGGCCTAAAGTCCTGGTTTGGTAATATTGTAAAGTAGATTTAGGAAACTGATACCGTGTTGGTTAAGGTTTTTATCTTGTAATCCTGCCCCCCATCCTATATAAGGTGGGCAGGAGGCCCTCTAGGGGGCATGAGACAATTAGATCGTCAGATCTATAATTCACCCGGCGGATTCAAATCCCCAAACAGGAGTAAGGTATTACCTCTTATTGAGAGGGCCTGAACCTGTCTAAATCCTTTGTCTCTGCATCCATCCACTTTTAGGTATCGTGCGCTACCCCCTTTTATTATTGCCGAATTCATGTTTCGACAGTTGGCGCGCCAGGTAGGGTTGCGTCGAGCTTTCCATCGAGAAGTGCGATGGAATCAATTTCTAGAGATGTGCTGAGATCGATCTCAACGAGTTCGACGGTTTCAACCTTCATCTCAATGAGTTCGACGGTTTTAATCTTCCACTCAGATTTGCCGTTCC